TCCCAGTCATTCCCTGCTTTGCCTTAATGTCGCTCACCTGAGGTGTCTTGAGCCCCCATCTGTCCCACCTGTTCCTCCTTGTCTTAAAAGTTAAGCACTTGGTTTTGCTAGAGCCTGCTCTCTTAACTAGTGTGAATGTCATTCTCTTTTCCCCCTCTCCTCCAGGGTCCAGACACAGCAGGCCCAGCATCCCAGTGGAGGAGAGCCCTGGGCAGAACCCAGGAGTCTTAACTGCTTGCCACACAGCCCCAAGCTGAGAATGGACAAGTGTGTGGGGAGCTGGAGAGAGCCAAACAGGAGCTTCATACCAGTCTGTCCCCACTCCTCCTGGCCACGTTTTAGATGGCCCTTATAGATTGGTTTCTGGGCCTCCTCAGTGCCAGAAGCCTTCAGTAGGCCCTGCCCTCCCTTAGGAGATGGGGTCAGCAGGGCACAGTCCTCTAGGAGCCTGTTTCTGGAGGGAACGAAAGGAACAGTATCATCTCTGGTCCCTAAGGCCCAGCTTCTCCCCTGACACTGTAACAGTGCAATGTGTTTATACCTCTTTGAACCAGGTGTGATGTAAGTGCACAATTGCTGCCCTTACATGGCCTTGGCCTGTGCCCACTTCACCTTTAATTGGCCAACCCTGTGTTGCTGGCATCGCTTTCTGAGCAAACCAAGAGTGCTGGTTTTGACTAGAGGTTCAAGTCAATGGTCTTGTCGTGTACTTTTTAGCTTTTCTTGCAATGCCATATTTTGATTCATGCATCTGGTTTTCAAAGCACGATTCCTCCACAAGTCTGTGCCCTAGTTTTGGCCTCTCCTGTGGAGGTGACTTTTCTGACCCTTCTGGAGTCTTGAGCTGCAGGTTAGCCCCTAGTGGCACCGAGGAACCCTGCCCAGCGTGGCCTAGAGCCAGCTTGCTTTTCTCCTGCACTTGCTGTGCATAGTGCCACTAACAGTATTGTCAGTTTAAGAGGTCATTTGTGGAAAGCCAGGGGTCTTTTGCTGTACTGAATGTTGACCCCAAGAAAGAGGACCACCTGCCTTGAACTTTTACCCTAGGCCTCCATGGACATGTGCAGCTGTAATGTGTGTGAGGGATTATTTGTGAACCTGGTGCCTCCTTGTTATCTTCTAAAATGTCAAGGTGTTTGTATCTGAAACATTTCAAGTTCTGTGCTCTTTTCTGCCCCAGTAACATCATTTTAGGAGAGTGCGGATGGGAAGCATTTGCATTTCTTCTACTTAACCTACATTTTCTTTCATTGTTTCAGCTCTGTGGAAACCAGAGTATAACCAAGGCATGGAACCATAGATTGGGGAGGGAAGGGAGGGTTTACGGAACCTTTCTCAAAGGAATCTGGGTCCTTGCTAATGAGACAGAGAGGGCTAAAAGAACATTTATGCTTGCCAAGAAATAATTCTTAAGGGCTGTGCTTTAAGAACAAACCCAGGTTGGCAACAAATACTTAAAAACCCATCTCTTTCCAGAACAGTGGAACTTCTGAACTTTGGCTGCACCTCAGAATCACCTGGCAAATTAAAACTACCAATACCTGGGCCCTTCTGGAGTTTTTGATTTAGTAACACTGAACACAGGGGTTGTAGTCTTGAAATAGTTTTAGATTCATAGAAAAGTTTCATATACCTTTCATCCAGCTTTCTCTAATGTTAACATCTTGAATAACCTTGGTACATTTATCAAAACTAAAAAATTAACAATGGTGCAATACTCTTTAACTACAGAGTTGATTTGGATGTTACTTTTTTTTTCTAGTAATATCCTTTTTCTGTTGGAGGATCTAGTATAGGATACTAAATTGCACTTCAAGCTGTTATTTTCTTCCCTGACTTAAATTTTGCAGTAATTAGAGTCATAGGAAGTTGCTGAGATAGAGGTTTCAGGCATCCTTTATCTTGTTTCCTCGATGGTTATATCTTAACAAAATTATAATGCAGTATCAAAACCTGGACTCTGACACTGGTGCAATATGGCTGTAGAGTTCTGCATCATGGGGCACGTGTAGATCTGAATAACTACTGCCACACTCTTAACAGACCTGTCCTGTCACTACCAGGATCCCTCCTCGACACTGCCCCTTTAGAGCCACCTGCCCCCCAGCCCTAACCCCTGGCAGCCACTAGACTGTTCATCTCTGTGACTTCGTCATTTCAAGAATGCTGTTTAAGTGGATTCATACAGTGTGCAGCCATTTGGGATTGGCTTTCTTCACTTTGCGTAGTTCTCTGGAGATTTCTCCAGGTCATTGTGTATGGATGGTTCATTCCTTTTTCTTGTCAAGTGGTATCCCATGGTGTATTCATTGTCCTGTCAAAGGATGTCTGGGTTGTTTCCAGTTTTTGTCCTATTCCAAATAAAGCTGCTATGAACATTTATGTATAGATTTGAGTGTAAAGATTAGTCTTTCTTCTGGGATAAAAGCCAGGAGTACAACTGCTAGGTTATAAGGTATGTTTACCTTTTAGAAAGAAACTGCTGAATTTTTTTGGAATAGTTATATACAATCTTAAATACCTATAAGCATTGTAGGAATAATCTGGTTTCTTCAAATCCTTGACACCAAACAGCCAACTCTTCAGCTGTTTTGATAGGGGCATTTCTCTGATAGCTAGCAATACACTCTGTTCATGTTTTTACTTTGGTGACATACCTGTGTTCTTTACCAATTTTCCAAAGTCCTTTGTTGGATTTTTGGCTTGCAAATATTTTTTTGTAGTCCGTAGTACTGTAGTCTAGACCTGAAATGTGCCCCAGATGTGTTAAAGATGTAATCCCTAGTTTGTCCATGCTATTGAGAGGTGGGTAGAACCTTTGAGGTGGGGACCCTGGGGTATGCCCTCAAAGGGGCTGTTGGTACCTTGGCCTCTTCCTTCTTCCTTCCTGATGACCATGAGGTGAACAGGCCCCTGCCATGTACTTCCACCATAATGTACAAAGACTGAATGACTGCAGGCTCCATTGACCTTGTCATCTCAGGTATTGTCCCAGTAACAGCTCATATTCCCTCACCATGGGCTCATATGGAACAAAAGTATAAATTTTAAAGATTTATGTGTGTCTGTGTATGTGGGTATGAGTGCAAATGCCCACAGAGGCCAGAGGCATTGGATCGGGCACTGAGCTGCCTGATGAGGGTGCTGGGAACTGAACTCGGGTCCTCTGGATAAAGTGCTAAGCCACCTCTCCAAACCCTGAAAAAAAAATTTTAATTTTTTCCATATTATTTTTATTTTATGTGTATGTGTATATTGCCTGTGTGTAGGTGAGTGCACCTGTGTCGTGTAATGCCTGCGGAGGTTAGCTGCCATGTGGGTGCTGGGATTTAAACCTGAGTCTTCTGCAAGAACAGTCAGTGTTCTTAACCACTGAGCCATCTCTCTAGCCCAAACCCTGAAAATTAAGTCCACTTTACATTTTTTCTTTTATGCAGTGTGCTTTTAGCATATGTGACAACAGTACCTTGTCATAGATCTCAAAAGTTGTCTTTTTCTCTCTTAACAGTTTGAGTTTTATATTTAAGCTTCTGGTCCATTTTTAATCTTTGCATAAGGTAAGAAAGGTTTAGGTCACAGCTAGATTGGTTGGATTTTGTTGTATAGTTTTTAGGCATAGGCTGACCTCAAACTCAGTCCACTCCCTTTTTGGCCTACAGATACCCATTTGTTGAAAAGGTATCTTTCCCTCCATTGTCAAGTCAGTTGGGCATCTTTGTATGGTCCTGTTTGAGTTGTCTGTGTCCACCTACCAGTACCACACACTTGATCACTGAAGTTGAAGCCAACAGATGTGTATGCCCACATATTTTTTTCCTTTTTTGTTTTTGAGACAGGGTCTCCCTGTAGCCCCAGCTACCCTGGAACTCGCTATGTAGACCAGGCTGGCCTTGAGCTCACAGAGACCTACCTGCTTCTGCCTCCCAAGTCCTGGGATTAAAGATGTGCACCACTGCGCCGCCCCTTTTCCTCCTTTGTAAGATCTCAGTCTATAGGCCAAGCTGGCCTTATAAACCCCCTACCTCAGCCTACGGAGTACTAGGGTTAAAGGATAAGACACTATTCCTGGCTTCCACTTTCATGGGGTTTTTGTTTTCGGAGACAGTCTCACTATGTAGCCTGTGCTAGCTAGCCTTACTTGAACTTAGTGATCCTCCTGTCTCAGTCTCCCAAGTGCTGGGATTACAGGATTGAGTGACCATATATTGGCTCAAAATTTCTTGGAGTATAAATTTTCTCGCTTAGAATAGCCAGGCATGATGGCGCACACCTTTAATCCCAGCACTCGGGAGGCAGAGGCAGGCAGATTGCTGTGAGATTGAGGCCAGCCTGGTCTACGAGCGAGTTCCAGGCCAGCTGAGCCAATAGGGAGACTCTGTTTCAAAAAGAACAACAGAAAAATTTAGTATAACCTTGCCTATATTTTGCTGGGATTTGTGTTATTCAACTTGGGAAGAACTGGTGTATTTACTGTGTTGTGCCTTCCAGTCCATGAGCATGGTATATCTCTGTAAATAATTTTGTAGGTGTCAGAATTTTTTTAGATTTAAATTTAAACTCTAATACTGTATTTTTTTGTATCCACATGTTCACTGGTATTAGGTAGAAGTTTTATGTTGTACCCTGAGATTTTGGACTCTTATCAAAGTAGGTATTTTCCCACACCTAGAATTCCTTAAAACTTAAAATTTTCAAGTGTATATAGATAACCATGTCCTCAGCTGATACTTGGATCCCACATTCAGGGCTTCTGACCTAATAATGATTTAGACATAATTACATTTAAAACCTCCTAGTGATTCTAATAAACAGCTGAGGTTGAGAACTGCCACTTTTTGGACTTCTCCATCAGTGAGCAAAGATCCTGAACCTGGGTGGCATGTCTGGCTGGGGGCTGGCAGGGTTAATGGGCCTGAGCTTTGCTGTTGAGGGTGACAAGGCCTTGGACTTTGCTAGGGAGTCCAATATACCAGCTTTCCCCAATCCCCAAAAGACAAGGCTGTGATGGATAATCAATTTAATGAGAAAACACTGATCTGTATAAAAAGGTGTTTTTGTCTGTCACTTAGTGTCCTCATTTTCTATATGAGGAGTTGTCTTGTGTAGTCTTGAATGCCTGTTTTGCCCACAGCACTAGTATCTGGGCACACATTGGCTGTTACACAGCAGGACCTGCCTATGGAAAGGTATGTGCCCCTGGGATGGAGCACTGGTCAACAATGGTCTGAGAAGGCCACTAAAATGTGAGTGAAAATAACTGCTGCAATACGGATGTCAGCCCGGGACCATGTGAGGGAGGTAAAAATCTTTGTCTTTTCACTGTTCCCTCAGCCTGTGGTCTCAGTTGAGGGCCCAGCTCTGGAGCCAGCTCTGCCAGTAATAGAGGTCTATCAGTGAAGCTAGAAACAAAAACCAACAGAAGGAAGACACCATGTTGGAGCTTGTGTGAAATCCTCCTCACACCACCACTTAGACCAGGGACCATGGCCAAGTTCCGAGCTTCTCAGTGTGCAGGGGATACAGACTTCAGGCCAAAGTGCCGTCTCCAAAGCCGAGGATTATTAGAGCCTCAGGCAAACTAGGGTTGTGGGCCACCACCCCAGTAGTTGAGTGGGCCACAAACAATCCCTAGCACCCAGGCACTGTACCGCCACGTGACTAGCCAACAGCATAAGGCTGGCAGGGCCTGACTGAGGCCTTTTGGCAGTTTTCCCAAAGCACACACTAGTTCTAGCTCATCTGTCTGAGGCAACCTGGTAGGTGCTGACTACTGTGGGACCCTCAAACCTGTTGACATACCCCTCAGCTTGCCAGAACCCACCTCCAGAGTCCTGTAGACCAGAAATGGCTAGAACGACTCCAGACACTATCAGGGTTGCTGCTGATAGGAATGGAACTCTGGGAAAATGCTGCCAAAGGGCAGCGGTGAGCTGCATAAATACCTGGCACCTGTATGGCCTGCTTTGTTTTCCTTTTATGCCCTGGATATAGCTGCTGGCCATATGGATCTCCACCCATAGAACAGGCTAGGGCCAGTCTCCTGAGGATCAGTAGGCAGATGTCTAGATTCAGCCCTGGGTAGTGCTGGCCTGTTCACTTCCTGCTCTAGTCTCAGCCCTTATCTGGACCCACTTTGCTTCTTGCTGCCCTGTGGTCCTCTGCTCCAGCCCTAGCAGAGAACACAACCCCACCTCGTCGAAACTTTGAGACCTGCTCTACCTGCTGCCTCAGGCCTGAGGAAGCAAACCTGGAGAGGAATTGTAACCAAAAGTAGAGAACCATAGGGGGCACAGCTACAGGGAAGGTGGGGAGGATGGGGAGGATGGGGTGGAAGGTGGGGGCCAGTGGAATGGTGGTTGTGAGTGACCCACAGGTCTTAGTCATCAGCATCGGGTGCGGGGATGCCCTACGTGGGCCTGTAGTGCTTCCCGGATGCCCCGCTGCCAGTCTCGTGCCAGCTGCACTGGAGTCAGGGAGGCCTGGAAACAAGAATGCTGGGTCAGTCTCCTCAGGTACTGCCTCTGATCCCCTCAGCACAGGTGCCAGGCCTTGCCTGGCTAGCACTCACCATATTTTTCATGCCCAGCTTGGCTCCATATAGCAGCAGCAGCTTCATGGCTTTGTAGTGGCCATGGCGCACAGCCTCATGAAGAGCTGTGTCCCCCTCCTATGGAAAAAGCAGGCAGTTAACACTTCTGTCCTCACCTACAGGCCTGCAGGAAGGGCCTATTGCTAACCCAGTGGCACCCAACCAGAGGCTCTGGCTTGGGCTACTTGCTCAGTCACAAGCACCCACCTTATCCTGTGCATCTATGTGGGCTCCACACTCGATAAGGTGCTCCAGGCAGTCAGAATGGCCTGTGCGCACTGCCACGTGGAGAGGGGTGCTCCAGATCTAAGAGGAGGTGGGGTGCAGTGCTGGTTCTGGGCTGGCCATACCTCCCAACCCCAAAATGCTGTTCCTTTTCTACTGTACAGCCAGCATCTGCTCCCATGTGCTGCTTATCTGCTTCTATCAGGATACCCAAGGCAGGTACCTCAACCCCTTACCTTGTCCCGTGCATTGACCTGAGCTCCCTGGTTAAGTAACTGTTTGAGGATGTCTAAGTGCCCTCCACGGCAGGCCCAGAACAGAGGTGTCCTGTCCAGCTACAACACAAAGTACCAAAGTGCTCTTACCCACAGAGTTGTGAGGCAGCCAACTGGACTAGCCACCACATTCACCAGGAGGGAGGGCTGTTCTTGCTTCTCACCAAGTCCTGTGCTTCCACAGCAGCCCCTGCCACGAGCAGCTTGTTCACCAGCTGTTCATGACCTTTCAGACAGGCCCAGTGCAAGGCTGTGCGGTGGAGCTAGGAGCACGTGTGAGAAATTAGGCCAAGGGAGCACAGCTGCCCCCTAGAGGCCTCTTCCCCCTTTTCCCAGAGCTGCTGAAGCCTCCCAGGCAAGGACCAGAGTACACAAGATGGGGTACAATTGTCATAAACCCATCCATCCACCCACCCATGCTACCTTGTCATGGGCATTGGGGTCCCCTCCATCTGTCAGGTACTTGTCAATCAGGGCTTCCTGGTTCTCAGCAGCTGCCTTCAGGAACAGCTCCAGGTCCACAGGGTCCATCCGGAACTGGGGCTGCAGCTGGGTGAGCAGGACAGGATCACGTTATTTTAACCCCAAGCCTGAAGACACTGGTAATTGTTGCTTCACCAGTCTGGCTCTGTGATTCCTAAGCATCAGGCCCTGCACACTTGGCCTACGTGACTGTACTTTTGTTTTTCAATTTCCCTATCAAGAGATTTCAAATGAGATATATATGTATATGTTGTATGTATATGTTGCACTGTCCCCCTGAACCAAGTTCATATGTTGAATACTAATCCCCAGTACATCAGAATGAGATGTTTTTGGAAATACAGTCTTTGAGATCATGTTAGAGTAGGCTGGACCCTTTTCCAATATGACTTGTGTTAAGGGCAGCCTTAATCGGCTGTCTTTATACCAGTGGACATTTGGATACAAGTGGGCACACAAAATACTTGATCAAAAGGCAGAGATGACTGATGCATCTACAACCAGGGGACAACACTACTGTGCCAGCTGCCTGGAGAAGCAGGAAGGATGTGTGAGTGGATGCTCTGAAGGAGTCAGCCCTGCTGACAACAGATACCTATGTCCAGCTCCAGTATTGTGAGACAGCCCATTTGTGTTGCTTAAGCCCCCAGCGGACAGTACTTTCTTGGGCATGTTTGTGAAGGACTGTCTTGATTAGGTTAACTGATGTGAAGACCCACCCTAAATATGGGCAGAACTATTCCATGGACTGGGGTCCTGGACTGAAGAAAGCAAGCCAGCCCAAGAAAGTGAGCATAAGCATCCATAGCTTTTGTTCCCTGACTGTGAATGCAGTGTGACATTTGCCTCACACTCCTGCTGCCAGGACTTCCCCACCATGATACACCCTGGAACTCTGAGCCAGAAGAAACTCATCCTTAAATTGCTTTTGTCAGGTATTTTGTCACAGTATCAAGACAAACAACTAATTCATTGCCCTGTCAAAAGAACAGAAGGCCCTGGCATGCATTCCATCCAACTTCCTATATGCTGGCTGTGTCGTTGTAGCCCCTGCATCCACTCACCACTCACCTCAACAACAGGCTCAGGTTCCCTGGGGGGGCCTTTGCATCTCAGTCGTTTTTCTCTTCGTCTTTGAATTAAGTTTTCCAAATCCGTCAGATTGTCCAGATTCAGTCTGGAGCTATTAAATCTTTCCAGCTAGGGCAGAAAGAGGTCAGAAAACACGTCCAGGCCAGCCATTATCCACTGGGCAGGGGCCTCAAGGCAGGCTCCTGGCTAGACTAATCCTGACCTACCTGTCTTGAGATGCCCAGCCAACTTTGGCTGCCTGACTCTGGCCATGGGCTCTAGGCCCTCACTGCTCAGAGCTGCCCATGCTGGACTGACTGTCCTAGTCTCACCCCAGCAGCACTCACTTTCTTCTTCTTCTCCTCTTCCAACTTCAATTTCTCCCGGGCCACAGCCTCTTGGGGTCCCAGCCTCCAATCACTAGGCCAACCTCCAGGATCAGGAATTCCATGTCCAAACCCCAACACTTTCCTATCAACTCTTTCTCCGCTTACCTGTAGGATAGGTAGAGTGGATAAAGAATCAGGAAAATTGGAGGAACTCTTGGAAAATCAGTGGGATGGCTAAGATCTGACATCAAAGATCAGTTATAGACCTGGGAGTCAGCCTGACCCTCCCACTGAAAGCTTCCTTGTGGGCTGCAGTGTTGGCAAGCCCCTGGACACCTGTGGCTCTCACAAACATTGACAGTAGCCAAGACCTAAGGGAACAACTGCCTGACAACTATCAGATCACAGGGTTGAGGGAATGAGGCATCTATTTTTGCCAGTGGGCTCCTGCCCAGAGCCTTGGGACAGATGACACCTTAGCTTCCCTCCTGGGCTGTTGTTTTAGATTCCTATGAGATCACAACACTACCACCTGACCCAAGTTTGGAGTAGAGGAGGTGCCCTGGATCAATTTCTATATTCCGGTTTCAGCTCTTGGCTCTTAATGAAGCCACGATTCTGTGTCCGTAAAAATGGGCTCAAACCAGCACCTACAGCCTGCCATGGCTGACACAAATTCCTCTAGCCACCACCTACACATCCTCGGAGCTGAAGAACACCCAGAAAGAAGGTGCAGATTATGGGGGAGAAACAAGAGTCTGATGCTTCTGGCCAGGTGGCCCCACCTTCCCTTCTAAGTCAGCAGCTCCAGTGACCTAATGCTCCCTGGGCCAGGCTTTGCCAGCCACCTCCCAACAGGGGCCATACCAGAATGGGTTTCGTTGGTACCACTGACCCTCTGGTACCTCCTGGGCCTCATACTCTCCATGCGCACATCAGCCAAACTGACATCCCAAAGCCTTACTGGTATCACTGTTTCACTGCTCAAGGAACACAAGAGTACCATCCCCAAAGTGGCCAGACATTTCTAGAGCAGATTCACAGTGCTTGGACTAAAGGAACACCCCAGCTACTCCCGTGGCTTCCAGAGTAACTTATCATTTCCCATTCTTTAACATCCCCCAAAAGGCCAAAACTATAAACTTGAGGGTGTAGCACTGTGATAGAATGCTTGCCTAGCAGGTGTGAAGCACTGAGATGGATCCCCAGCACCACACTCACAAAGAAAAAAGCAAAAAAAACTTCAAAGATTTTTCTACCACCCAATTACTCTCTCATTCTCCCCTCTTATTGCCTCCCTCTCACATGAGAACTAGGCAGGAAAGAATGACATGCTGCCTTGCCTCTATAGCCTGACCCTCAGACCCCAGCAGTTGTCTGTGCTCAGCCAGACCATCACTCTGCCCAGATGGTCTAAGTACTTAAGCCTTGTGTTGAATCCTCACCTATCACCTCATACCCCCACCCTCTGCCCCACATCCTCACCAACTGCTGAATGCTGATGAAGTCCATGGTCCCCCCCCCGATTTCTACACACACAGTGAGACAAGCAGAGCAGCTCAGCACTTTTATAGAGAGCTATCTCCTGGGGGTGAGGAAGGACAGTGGCTTGTGCCAGAGCCAGATGACTCTGGGGCCCTGTCACACTAACCAAAATACCAGTCTGGGAATGTGGCCCACTGAGGGCAGGAAAGGAACTGTTTGGAGCTGAGTCGGCTACCTCCTCAGACACCCACTACCCTGCACCTGCCATGGCTGATGTCTTGGGGGGGGGCACTTAACTACCACATGTGCAGGGGTGCCAGGCTATCAGCCCAGACCCAAGGAAAACCTTTCCTACTCTTCTGAGCTTAGAGCCCAGCCTCTAGAATATAGGTCTGGCTGCCTGAGACACTGCAAAGACCCAGCCTAGTCTAAAGCAGGAATCCTACAGAGGACCTCAGAAGGGACAGGAGAAGTGGCTGTGCTAATGCCTTGGGAGTCCTCATGGACCTACTTAATGAAACCAGACATCATACAATTTCCCAACACACCAGTTTCAAGGCTGTCCTTCCCTGATTTGTCTCAGTAAGTGGATGGCTAACATATCACTTTGCCCACTATCAGAAGCCAGCCCTGGCCTGTCGTCAGTCCTCATGCTTCTGGAGAAGCCTTCCAGGTCTCCAAGAGATGCCCTTCAGGAGGGAAGGGGGACTGAGACGGTATATAGCAATAACCATGACAAAGCAACATCTCCAGCCAACAAAATCAAATTCCTAATTCTTCAGAAGCCACAAATGCTTTTCACCCTGTGGTGCCCCAAACTCCAACTTGACCTTTGAAAGGAAATTAGATATCCAGTAAACAAGACTCCAGCCTAACAGCAATACAAGCAGAGATGACCAAATGAGAGGGAGGGGGATTATGAGTAAAGGAGGACTAGAGGCCCCAGCGGAGCACCAGAGGTCCTGCCCATAGAGCTGGCCTCAAGGATGTGCTCCTGAGTTGAGCTTTGAGAGAAATTAGGGAAACACAGCTTTTATTTTATTTTTGAGACAGGGTCTCAGTGTCTCACCATGTGGCTCCGACTAGCCTGGAATTCTTTATAAAGACCAGGCTGGCCTCAAACTCAGATCCACCTGCCTTTGCTTCCTGAGTGCTAGGATTAAAGGCATGTGCCAACATGCCCAGCACAATTATATTTTTGTACATATCAGATTGCTAGAATTGATGAAATTATGGAAGTCAGTGTTGGTCAAGCTTTAGGAACTGGGCACAATTTTCCCCCCAGAGTACTGATAAGTGAACCTAGGGCTTTGTGCATGCCAAACAAGCATTCTACCACTAAGCTATATCCCCTACTGAGACAGAGTCTTACTAAGTTGCCCAGGCTGGCCTTGAACTTACTCTGTAGCTCACGCAGGTCTCAGCCTCCTAAGGAGCTGTTATCACAGGCCTGCACTACCACCAGGCCAGGCTGGGCACTGGGTACTCTTGCATACTACTTGTAATGTGCCATGCACTCAACAGAATGCCCTACAGACTCAATCAGTCCCCAGAGCAACCCTGAGGCAGGCCTATTCTAATCATTTTCAACTCACGGACAAGAGAGCTGAGAGACAGACAAGTAAAAGAACACTGTACCAAGCTCACTTAGCAGCATTTGATAAATAGTACACATTCTGATGCTTGCATAGTTTTGCATTTTTATATTTAGGCCTGTATATCTTGAAATTTATCTTTGTGGGATGAAGTCAGGATATAAACTTTATTTTCTTCTAAATGGATTGATTTTTCTGCATGAACTTAGAATATCATTGTCTGTCCAGGCTCTGATGCCTTTAGCCTCACCAAACCTCCCTGCTGGCTGCTATCCCCTGGTCAGAACAGGGCTCTTCTTGAGAGTTCTGGCCCTGGTTCAGGCCCTGCAGCATGAATGCTGAGCAAGGCAGGGGTGTGGAGAGCTAGTCTATGTGTCCTTCAAAGGCAGTCAGAGAGAGGAGGTAGTGCCTCAGCTGGCCAGCAGGTCCCGTAGGTCACTGTTGCAGGGCAGCAGGTCACATGCTAGCCGTGCTTTGCGATCCCGGATGGCCTTCAGGGCTGGGCTATGTTGCAACAGGAGGGAGCAGATGTCCTTGTGACCCTTCTCTGCAGCCTGGGGAGAGAAAGGCCTGAATCAAAAGGCATACCCACACTGGGCCCTGCACTTTCTTGCTTCACTTCTAGGACCTGCCTGCTCCAAAAATATGTCTCCTAGAAACAGACTCTGGGTGTTTGAGCAGATTTCTAATTCCTACTAAATCCCAGTGCCTTATAAACAGATTTGTGAAGGACCCTGATGTCATTTGGGCAGCTAGCCTGAGTTCTTTTTTGTTCTGTTTTATTTTTTGAAACATGGTCTCACTATATAACACTGGCTTATCCTAGAACTTTCTATGTAGAGCAGGATGGCCTTGAATTTTTGGTAATCTTCTTGCCTCTGCCTTCCACGTGCTGGAATTATAGGTATGAGCAGCCACCCTCAGCCTCAGTCTGGATATTTTTTATTTTTGTTTGTTTCATTCTTTTTTGTTTGTTTGTTTTGCTTTTTTTCAGACTGGTTCTCACTATGTAGTTCAGGCTAGCCTCAGACTCACAATCCTCCTGCCTCTGCCTCCCAAGATGTGGGAGGTATGCCACCATGCTCAGCTTAGCCTGAGTTTTTCTTGTTTGTGTCCTTTACCCAGTGACCACTGTCTTTGGCCAGATCTACATAGTAAAAGCAAGCACACATGGGGCTAGAGAGATGGCTTAGCTTTAAGAGCATGTACTTACTGCTCTAGCAGATGACCCAGACTGAGTTCATAGCACCCACATCAAGCAGCTCACAACTGCCTAGAACTCCAGTTCAGGGGATCCAATTCCCTTTGGCCTCCAAGGGCACTTGCATGCACATAGTACACATAAATTCACACAGGCAGGCACACAAATCTTTTAAAAAATATTCACACACTTGGTGTGTTGTCATACACCTTTAATCCTACCACAGAGGCAGAGGCACACAGATCTTTTGAGTTCCAGGCTAGCCAAGGTTATAAAGTATGTGCCTGTCTTTAAAAAAATTAAAAAGCACAGAAAACTGGTATGGTGGTTCATGCTTTTAATCCTAGCACTCAGGAGCAGAGGCAGGAGGATCTTGAAAGGTTGAGGCCAACCTGGTCTACATTGTGCGTTCCAGGCCAGCTGTGGCTACAGGGAGACCCTGTCTCAAAAACTAAACACACAGGAGGCTGGAGAGATGGCTCAGTAGTTAAGAGCACTGACTGCTCTTGCAGAGGACCTGGGTTCAAGCCCCAGCACCCACATAGCAGCTATGAACTGTCCTTAACTCTAGTTCCAGGGGACTCCAATGCCCTCTTCTGACCTCTGTGGCACCTACATACATGCAGGCAACATACTCTTACACATAAAATAAAAATAATAAATAAAATATTTAATTAAAGAAAAACAAACAGAGAAGGCAAGACATCCCATTATTAATTAAAATTAAGGGATGGCTCTAAAGGGGAAAAAAAAAAAAAAAAAAGCACAGAGCCCTGGATTTCTAAACATTTTCACCAGTGTTTACAGATCATCTAGCGGGTACTGGGGACCATGGGCACAGGCTGTATCAGACACGGTCCCTGTCCTTTGGTAAGTTTAAGGAAGCAGTGAAAATCTGAGGCGTAGGCCAAATTTTGTCCCTCTTCTCTGAAATAGATGATCCCATTCTAGAAGTTGGTAAACTTCTAACCTGCCTCCTACATCAACATAACAGAATTCAGTGATTTTACACAGCTTATGTTATTTAACTTGCATAGTAGCACTAAGAGGCAGAGCATCATTATTCCTGTTTTTTAGAGGAAGAAACTTGGGCTTCTCAACTTGATTGACCCAAGGTCACAGAGCAGTCTGAGGAGTCTAAGCCAGATCTGTGTGCTTCAAAGGTTAAACTTTCAGTAACTGTCACATCAGTAATATTCCCAACTCCTCCTCCAGGCAGATAGATGGATAAACTGCAGGTCTCCCTATAGCCAGCTAGCCTGGAACTTGCTCTGTACACCAGGCTGGCTTCAATCTCAGAGATCCATCTGCTTCTGCCTCCCAAGTGCTTGGATTATAAAGACATGTTCCATAATGCCTGGCAGGTTTTTTGTTTGTTTGTTTTTTGTTTTTTAAAGACAGTCTCACTCTATCCCAGGCTGGTTTTGAACTCATGGGCAATTCTGCCTTAGCCTCTCATGTGCTGAGATTATAGGCATGAAGGCATGAACCATCACACCCAGCTATTTGTGTATTTGTGTATTTGTGTGTGTGTGTGTGTGTGTGAGAGAGAGAGAGAGAGAGAGAGAGAGAGAGAGAGAGAGAGAGAGAGAGAGAGAGAGAGAGAGAGAGAGAGAGAGAGAGAGAGAGAGAGAGACTGACTATCATATAACGCCAGGCCTTGAACTCCTGATCACACCCAGCTATTTGTATGTCCAGTAATGAAAAAGAAAAAAGAGAAAGAAAGAGGGGGGAGAGAGAGAGAGAGAGAGAGAGAGAGAGAGAGAGAGAGAGAGGAAGGAAGGGAAGGAAGGGAAGGGAGGGAAGGGAGGGAAAGGAAGGAAGGAAGGAAGGAAGGAAGGAAGGAAGGAAGGAAGGAAGGAAGGAAGGAAGGAAGGAAGGAAGTCTCATATAACCCCAGGCTGGCTTTGAACTCCTGATCCTCTGTTTCCACATCACAAGTTCTGGGAATACAGAGATGAACCACCACAGCCAGTGAGAGAGGTCTTGAAATTAATAAAACATAGCACTCCAAATTTGAATCCAAATCTTTGTTTTGCAGATCCTCTGGAGGAACAGAGGCCCAAGGCTCTCAATTTTGTTCAGTTTAGATAATGGCATGTTGCAGACAGTTACAGCCTGCATTTCAAATATGTTTTTTATAACCAAATCTAAACTACTGATGTTTTCAAACAGTCTAAACAGAAAGAGAGAGAGACAGAGACAGAGACAGAGAGACAGAGAGGAGAGAAAACAATTCATATACATCCCCAACATAGAGAAAAAAGGACGGTGCTGCATTTAACACCAGCCGGCATACCTTTGGGAGTGTCCTATTTTTACAAAAAAAATTTACTGTTTTTATTTTATCTTGTATGTATGGGTGTATTACCTGCATATATGCAAGTTCATTCGTATCATGCAGTGCCCATGGAGGTTAGAAGAGGGCATTGGAAACCCTGGAACTGGAGTTATAGACAGTGGCCAGCTGCCATGTGGGTGGTAGGAACTGAACCTAGGTCCTCTGTAAGAGCAACCAGTGCTCTTAACTGCTGAGCAATCTCTCCAGCCCTGCAGTGTCCTTCTGTAAATGTCTATCCTGTAAAGGATGGCAGTAAAATATCTGAGGCACACCAGTTTAGACCATTCAGACTCAAGTACTAGACAAGATGGTATAGGCCTGTAGTCCCAGACAGGAAGACTTGAGTTCAAGGCCTGCCCAGACTACACAGAAAAATGTATTAAACAAATGAGGGCTAGAGAAATAGTTCAGTGATTAAGAATGCTTGCTCCACAACTATGAGGACCAGAGTTTGGATCCCAGCACCCATGTAACAAGACAGGCATTCCTACATATACCTGTAACCCCAATTCCAAGGGGAGTGGAGACAGGAGGCTTACTGGGGTTTGCTGGCTTCCAGCCTAGCCAAGAAAATGCAAGTCCTGGGCTCAGGGAGAGACCCTGCCTCAAAGGAAAAGGCAGAGTGTAACAGAGGAGGACACTTGGTGCGCACTTCCAACCTTCACACATGTACACAGGTGCATGCACCCACATACACAAAAATGATTAAATATATCTTTTTAAAAAATCTGCTTCTACAGCCAGCAAGGATTTAACAAAAGCCAACATACAGCTGTTCACTCAGCACAAATTCACTGAGCACCTGTGCTACTCACTAAGGCTATAACACTAAATAAAGTCCCAGCTGCTGCCTCTGGTGAGACAGACCTCAAACAGACTCTTCAGTGCAGGCTGCATACAACTTCATACAACTTGTCACAGCTAGGGACCAGGCAAGTATAAACTATTGTCTAGAAGGAAGAGGAGAAACCAGCCAGATGAAAAAAAAAATGGAAGAGAAAAAGGCTGGGCATGGTGGTGCACACTAGAAATCCTAGTACTTGGGAGGCAGAGGCAAGAGGATTGCCACAAGTTTGAGAATAGCCTGGTCTGTATAGTGAGTTCCAGGTCAGCCAGGGATACATAGTGAAACCCAGGGGGCACAAAAAAAGGAGAGGGAAAAAAAATATGAGGGGAAGGGCTGGAGAGATGGCTCAGTAGCTAAAAGCATTGACAACTCTTGCAGAGGACCCAGATTCAATTCCCAGCATCCACATGGCAGCTAACAACTGTCAGTAACTCCAGTTCCAGGGGATCTGATGCCTTCTTCTGACCTCTTCAAGCACTGCATGACACAGGTGCACTTACACACATGCAGGCAATATACTCATAAACATAAAAAATAATTTTTTAATTAAAAAAAAATAAGGGGAGAGGCATGCATTTAGGAGGAATAATGTGTGATGTTTGGTGATAGCAAGTTCAAGAAGAGGAAAAACAATTATCAGGGCCAGTAGGGGCCAAGAACAAGAGTAATGAGGCTGTCCCAAATATACAAAGAACTGCAAAAAATTAAATAGCAATGGACTAAAATGACCAGTCAACAAGTGGGCCAACAAACTGAACAAACAGTTTTCAGAAAATGAGATACAGATGACCAACAAATTTATTTGGGGTTTTTTTTTTTTCTTTTTGGAATTTTTAAGACAGGGTCTCCCTGTAGCCCCAACTGGCCTGGAACTCACTATGTAGACCAGGCTGGCCTTGAGCTGACAGAGATCTGTCTGACTCTGCCTCCTCAGTGATGGGATTAAAGGCGTGTGCCACCACGCCAAGTACCAACAACTATTTTTAAAAAGTGTACAACATCCTTAGTCATTAGGGAAATGTAAATTAAAACTACTTTGAGATACCATCTTACCCTAGTCAGAACAGCTATCATCAAGAAATCAGAAGACAAATGTTGGAGAGAATGTGAAGAGAGGAATCCTTATTCACTGCTGGTCAGAGTGCAAACTTGTATAGCCATTATG